CTTTGTTTCTACCGTGTACTCAAAGAGTTAAATGCTACAATTCAGGTATGTTTCCGATGTTCTCTCCTAAACTATAAATCCACATGTCAAACACGATTTTACTTCCACGTGTTAAACACAGTTCCACTTTCACGTTCCTGGCTCTAGTTTAGAAATTTTTAGGTTTTCGCTGGAAGACGCGCAGAACATTTATTCTACGAACTTGAGTCCAATATGAGCCGATTGCCGATGAGGCACGTACGTAGCGCCGAATCGGCCATCGCTCTTATTCGACGAGAGTGAGTGGAATAACTGTTTAATTTTATTATATACACAAACTCTGAATTCACAAACTTTGCTTTTCGAATATTTTCAATATTTTTCTATTTTGTTTATGTTTTTATCTTCGCTCTTTCGGCCGATTATTTTTTCCAAAATATATACTTTTAACCATTTTAAAAACTTATTTGCTAACCTGTAAACGTTTGTGGGAGTTTTTTAATTGTGTTTTCAATCCTGTAAAGGCTATAAAAAGCGAACAACTTGCCGTTTTCTCGTTCGCAAAACGTCGGAAATTCAGTTGAGAACCAATCAAATCGCAGAATTTCTCATATCCATACCTTGTGTATATAATAATTGTAGTTATATAAATTATAACGAGTAGCCATGATCGAATGTAGAGCCGGAGTTATCAAGAATGACAGAATTTAAAATAAAATAATTCAATATCTTTCTGCATTAGTTTTTAAAGTATAATATGAACGAGTCTAGAAGTTTGTACCTTGTAAAGTTATCTCTGAAGGCAGCGCAGAACATTTGTTTTCATACGGCGTTATATTGCCGCTTGACGGAAATAGACTTCAAATATAGAAATAACTAAATCGTTATGTTCGGTTTTAAAACGGCTGTACACTGTTATCGAAATATACTTTCATGCCATTCTGCATTAGCGTAAGGAAAATTGAACTAAGCAATGCAGACGTTCTTAACTTGTGCGGCATCCTCTGTAGGACGAGCCGAACATATGTGTCATTATAACGCCGCCATATGAAAACTTGAAAGACCCAGACAGTTGTTGCACTTGCGGACATAATTGTACTATTTCTCCAAAACGAAGCGACGTTTCCTTTAACGGTTTCATGTCCTTCTTGAATGATATTAAAGCAATAAATTCTTTGGCCTTCGAAGTCATTCTGCCTTGCCAAAATTGCAGTCATAATTAGTCTTCTTGAAGCGCGTCATCTTGCCGGAGACATAAAACCACAAAATAGGGATCTAAACAGAAGTAGGCTTCAATGATCTGGTTTCTTCCACTTCACTTGGTGGAATTAATATTAGAATGCCGTTTTTAGGGTTTGTAATCCAAGTGATTATATATACACTTTAATTAAAACCTGACCAGGAACGACTGCGAAAAATGCAGCACAAGGTCCTCTGGTGCAGCGCCTAACTAAGTGAGCTACATCGATGGTTGTCCAATACTGTCGCATGCATACGGATCGTTCGTTTCGTGAAATTTTGGCTACGGATGGAAGACTTGTTTTGTCAGTCATAACGATTGATAAAGACTGAACGTCGATCCGTACCATTGGTAACGGATGGACTGGGAATTCACGATCGGAAAATATGAATTGTCGATCCGTGAATCTAGTGCTAAAGCTTGTGTGTGGCTAAGGGAGGCCTCAAAAATGTTGTCGATCCGTACGATTGGTAACGGATGAACTGCGAATTCACGATCGGAAAATATGAAATGTCGATCCGTGAATCTAGTGCCAAAGAAGTAAAGCTTGTGTGTGGCTAAGGGAGGCCTCAAAAATGTTGTCGATCCGTACGATTGGTAATGGATGGACTGCGAATTCACGATCGGAAAATATGAAATGTCGATCCGTGAATCTAGTGCTAAAGCGTGTGTTTGGCTAAGGGAGGGCTTCAAAATGTTGTCGATCCGTACGATTGGTAACGGATGGTCTGGGATTCACGATCGGAAAATATGAAATGTCGATCCGTGAATCTAGCAGTAAATTCTGTCATTACGATTTGTAAGCTATAAATATGTTTACTTTTAATATGGTTTGTGATTGCATAAGACAAACAAAAATGTTTTTAAGTTATTAAAAATTAAATAACAATAAACAATTGCAGACATGGGCGTACCAGAAGGAAAAAATTAGGGGGGCGGAATGAAATTTGCCCGACTTTTCGGGATTCTGCCCGACTAGTAGCGAAAAAATTTTTTCCGGAGAAATTATTTTTGCGACCGAAAATTTTCGGTCAGTGTACCATTTTAGGGGTCAAAAAATTTTCCGGACATACCAAAATTTTTCGGAACATCACACACATTTCCAAACAACACAAAATTGACCACAAAATTTACTGAATTTCCGACAAATTAGACAGAATTTCCCCCATTTATTTTTTTAATAAACCAAAACTGCCCGACTGTTGATCGAATATTGCCCGACTGCCCAACAAACTGGGCCATCGCCGCCCCCCGCCCGGTACGCCTATGATTGCAGATATGTTATTAATGATATAGTATGGTTTCAAATACTTGCAATTTCAAGAATTTCGCGGTAATTTTTTATAATTTTTTAAATCAACCAGTACGAAGAAACTCTGTGCAGAATGAGGGCGGTAAGGACGCTATTCATTTGAATACGATGCTGTTAGTGTTATAACGGAAGTGTCAATTGTGAGGTGACATGGTCATATACATAGTCAAAATACAATAGCAGCCGACAATTTCAAAAAATAAAAAACAAAATATAATCAGAAGATTAACATCTTGAAACCCAAGATATAGGTTAAAACAAAACAAAACAAAACTAAACAAAACAAAACAAAACAAAACAAAACAAAACAAGAACGATTTCTTAATTATATTTAGATTTTATTGAAAATAATCATGAGACTAAAACCAAAGTAACAATATTGCAACCGTATATTTTGAGAAGTTGGTAATGCATGACATCATCATACGGAAGTCTCAATCAAGGAACCATGACAGGTTTGCAGCGCAGGAGTGTGATAAAATGTAGGTGTAAGATTATGAAAAAAGCTTGAGTTCTTTCCCTGCTTTAATTAAGACCAGAATTTAAAGTAGGTGAATGATATTTAATATGAAGTGCTTCAAGCAACAAGAGGAAATTAGGTAACATGCGAGTGTTAATTAGGCTGCTTTCCACTGTTGCGTTTTTCCTATACGCACGAACAGGCACGTAAAACTTTAAATCCGTTTAAATGTTACTTATGAAATAACCAAATAAATAGAGCAACAGAATTTAGTGTTCCCCATGTTTTAGTATGCATTTGTTAACTTAACTATATTTAAAGTTTTACGTGCGTGTATAGGTGCATGCTGGGTTTGTATGTGTGTATGTGTGTGTGTATGTGTGTGTGTTTGTCTGTGAGCACGATTAAATAAAACTTTATACTGAATGCGTAATTAGGACGTGCATAATATATGCACCAGCCATTCAAATTCTAATAACAATAGATTACTTCAATAGTTTGCGCGTAGGCGGAGGTATCAGTCTCTGAGTGCCCTCTAGTTTTCTATGTAATGATTAACAAAATCTCCTAAATGATGTGCAGCGGTTGTTTTCTTTGTCTGTGTGTTCTCTCTTTCCGTGTTTCGACCTAGTGTGTTTATACCCATCATACAAATCTATCATCCAAAAAAAAATTGTGCATCTTTCACTATAGTGATCTAGCCCGACATCTAGCCCTTTACGGTTATTACCAGGCTATATCTAGCCC